AATGATGTGTGGAGATGTCGTACTGAGCATCCAATACAGTGTGAATGTGTTTGCAAGATCTGTTTACGTCCTATGGAGCCAAAGTCCCTTTCCACCATGTCTGCCGTATCTCCCTTTTTTTTTTCTTTTTTTCTTTGCCCAAGGCTTGTTTTTTGTTTTTTTTTTTGTTTTTTTTTTTTTAATATCAGAACAACCCGTGGTGGTGGTAGGGGTGCTGATAAGAGCAGACACCACTATCACTCTCGGGGAGGCTCCATCTATTGGTGGGGAGATGCACCTGCTGGAAACCGGGTCCAGCGTCCCAGAACAACATGTTTCCTTGTTTACACAGACATTTGATTGTGGTAACCGGTAGCTGTATGGTCCATCCTCGAAGGAGGCGATTTGAGAAAATTGAGGCTGGGGTCCTCACAGTCTACCCGGACTAACCTACATATGATGATGATGATGATGATAAGACTGATGATTTTCTGCTAATCAGAATCATGATGTCAGACCAGTCGCACTCTTTTTTTTTTTTTTTTTTTTTAATAAAACATGCGTGAAGATTGAGCCCTCAAGTAGGGGCCTTGCCATGATGAACATGTTCTGGGCTAAGGCCCCAACAAGACTCGCGCCCGCCCTAAGTGAAGGCGGGCCAGCAAATCAACAAGAGCCCTCTGTGCCAACATTTCACGAAGTGGGGTCCATACAGTTGCAGCACGTCAGTTGGTTGGAGTGCACCGAGTCTCGGATTTCAGCAAATGCTGAAATGCCCAGGGCCTCTGAGTTAGTTAGGCCCTGGGCTGTGAATGTGAGGCCGACAATGCATGCTGGGTATAGAGGCCGAAAATGCCAAAGGGAAATCGGCCCACTGTCTGAATCTGGCCGCAGRCCCTGATGAAAGAGGTGCAACTGCATTGCTCCRGGGCCCAACTGTATCGGGCTGAGTTCWGCCTYTGGGTCCCGGTCACARGYTGAAGGGAGGCCGCCCACACGCTGCACTGGCATATAGGCAAGCAGGGCGAGTGGGCAGGGATCTTGGCCAATGCTGGCACTTGCGGGCACGCTGCGTGGATGCACGTGTGTTGCGCTGTGCAAAGCAGCGCTGCGCTAAGAGCAAGCAGGCCAGCGCTAGGCGGTAGGGCGCTGCCTGCATGCAAGGCACTGGCGGCCATAGCCGGGCCACATGAGGGTGTAAGAGAGGTGAAGGGCGAAGGTGGTCTTCGGAGGTGAAGGGCGCTGTGTGGGTAACAAGGGAGAGTGTGGGTCAGAGGACACGTACCTGGTGGAGGTGGAGGTCGGCATTGGTGTTGACATCATCACTCGCTGGTAGTCAAGTTGTCTGGTTGCTTTTCATTGCTGTAGTTGTAGGATAGGCTGTAGAGTAGATAGGGCGCCTGGCGCCATTCACAAGAGAGAGCTACATYTGGGTTATGCTGTTGGTGTTGCCCTGTTGGGCATGGACATTGACTCCCGATTCTTCTGTATCATTCTCAATTGGATGGTTACTCGGTTCCATGTGCTATCTGCTTTGGCTTTGACTACTTGGACTTCAGTGT